ATTTCAACACAGGGGCTTGCGTTAATGCTTGTTTTAATTTTTCGAAAGCACTATTGGCTTCGGCCGTCCACGAGAATCTTGCCTTTTTCCTTTTTAATTTTAACAATGGCTTCAGCGAATAGCTGCAAAATCTTTTATAAAGGACCTATAATATGAACAAAGTCCTAGAAAAGAAGAGAGCTTCTTTGCCGTGTTTGGAGTCGGATACTTTTGTACAGCGATTATTTTTGATTCGTCTGTCTCGATCCCTTTTGAGATATTTTGTAACCTAAATATTTTAATTCAGGGGCTGCAAATTTGCACTTTTCGACATTAACTTTTAGACCGGCCTCATTTAATAAAGAAAACACCTGTCTTAAATCCTGTACATGTTGGTCGAGATTATCACTAGTAATAATGATATCGTCTAAATAGATAAATGTGGACTTTCCAAGAACAGGTCTTAACACAATGTCCATACATCGCTGAAATGTTGCCGGGGCGCCCTGAAAGGCCAAACGGCATACGCAAAAATGCATAAGTGCCAGACTTGGTTATAAAAGCAGTCTTAGGCACGTCCTCAGGCCTGAACCCCTATTTGAAAATAACCAGTCGTTAAGTCTAAAGTCGTCATAAATTTGGTTGATTTTATGTTCCTTAAAATTTCTTCTATAATCGGTAACGGATATACCGGATATTTAGTTATGGAGTTTAATTTACGGTAATCAATAGCGAATCTCCACCTTTTTGGATGCTCCAAAGGATAATCATTATTTTTCTTACATAAAACCACCGGGCTAGCATAACTACTTGAGATGGGCGTTATGATCTTTTTACGTAGCATATCGGTAATATGCCATTCTATAATTTTTTCCTTATTCTTATCATACCGGTATGGTTTTTGACGAACTGGCAATGCATCTCCGGTGTCAATACTATGGTTAGTAACCTGAGTAAATCCTGGAATATCACTAAATAAGGAAGCAAATTCACTTACCACTTGTCGGATTCTATCTTGCTCGTCATTAGGCAGGTGGTCAAGATTTAACCTTGGCGGTTCAACCTTTTCTACACGCAACTGGTTTCATCGTCAGCTTAAGGGACGCTTCATTAAAATCCAGTGTAGCTTGTGCGTCTGAAAGAAAAAGTCTATTCCTAGGATTAAATGTGCTTGCAAATTCTTTACTATAAAAAACATCACCTTTACTTGTTCGTCCTTGATACGGATGTACAAAGGTACTTTACCTACGCACTTACATTGTTCTCCTTGCGCCGCTAATACTGTCGTATTATCCGCAATTATATATGCGGTATTTGCGAAAATACTTTCTAAAAAAAACTTCTGCCACACAGGAACACTGCGCGCCGGTATCCAGGAGTGCGGTGGCCGGGATATTATTTACCAAGACTTCAATCTTCGGAAGAGTTAAATTTTTCACCATTACTGTATTTAACTTGTAGGAAGAGGGGTTTTCGTGGCCTTCGGATTTCCGCACCCTCTCGTCAGCAGAAATCCGTTTTAGTTTAAATTATTTTTCCTTTCGGTGCTTTCCTTCTTTCTCCACTGGCCTTGAGACTTTTTTCCTGGGTTGCTATTGAACTGTCGACGTTCGCCGGCTGTTTTTGAATGCTCGGGTTTCCTTGCCCACTGATTCGCTTTTTCTCCGTAGCCATGTGCTTGAGTTTGCTGTAGTCTTGGCGTACCAAATTGGTTTCGCTGTTGATATTGGCGTCTTCTTTCGACGTCCGCCGTTCTTCTACTTTCAAACTGGATTGCTAGCTCAAATAACTTTTCCAGTGTAGTCGGATTTCTTAATTCAATAAAGTCTTGCACTTGGGGTAGTAACCTCGGCAAAATCACTTGAATTATTTCAGGATCCGGACGGTTTCCATACAAGAGCTTTGAAAACGTGAATTTTTCTTAAAATAAAGCTCGAGAGGTTTTCCATTCTTTGTTGATATATACTGAAAAGTTCCGTTTCTAATTTCGCACGATCCCTTACAACAGGGAAGGCTTTTAGTAGGGCAGTCTTGAAATTTTCGTAAGTATAGGTGGGACTTCCTGCTTGACCCAAGAGACTTCTGCCGATACATTTGAACCAGTTAAGCGCTTGGCCCCTCAAAGCGCTGGTAGCTAAGGTAACTTTTTGAAACTCGTGCACGGGGTAGAGCATGAAGTGGTCATCCAATTTTTCCAAAAAACTGGTTACCTGGTGAGTTTCCATTAAACGTGTTGCTTCTGGTTTCATCGAAGCGCGCATGGTCTGGACGATGTACCCAAATCCTTCCAGGGCGGCAGCTGGCATTTCTGGATTCTGAGCCGTTTCTGCAGCAGGCAGCACAGGTTCTTCTTGAAACTCGGCCATGGTTATTCTTCGTCGGGCGCCACTATCAGGTTCAATGTTTCTTCTAACCTTCTTCGGAAACATACAATGACCTGACTAGGAACAGAGAGCTTACTAAAGCTATGTTCACTAATTGTAGTAAGTAGACAGGATACAGACGAAGGGTATACAAAACCCTTTATTTTTTTTCTTTATATACAATGACTTCCGTACTTCGGAATACAATGACCCTCCACTCGGGGTCTAACGTTAAAAGATATAAAAATAAAAACTAAACTCTAATTTAACTTTAGAATAAGATTGGCCTTATAATAACAGGAAGCGTATGTAGCACAGAGACTGTGAACACTACAATACGTTTAATTTATCAAGAGGATTAAAACCTCTGGCCTGGAAGGCAAAGTAGCAACTGCGTAACTTCTAAGGTAAGCGGCCTGCTTCGAACTCACTGGCTTCCTCTCTCCTGCTTGGCAAAAAGGCCACACTTAAATACTTGGCGTTCGCCAGACAAACTTTGCATAAAACCTTTCACGCTTATAATTCTGGCCGGAAGTAGAAAATAAGAAGTGATAGTAAAGATTTAAAATAAAATAAACGTTAGTAAAACTTAAGATCCTTAAAGCCACTTGAATACATCTCCATGGATGGCAGGGAGGTAATTTGAATTAATTTTATTTAACATTCTTGTACACTAGATTTACTAGCACTGGAAATATGTATGAATAACATTTATCTCACGTGCAGACGACACGAAATTCTAAAGATATGCGTTTTACCCTTGATGTATGAACAGTTCAGCTCGCATCGAATCGTGCTTCACAATGCGCGCAAACGAGTTCCGCTCGGGAACAAGATTTTGACCGAAATGGTTAGTAACGAGCACTACTTGCGTAGTGAAATTTTTCCCCGATGTGCGCTGACAAGCTGACTTCGTTCGCCATTATTATTCTGCACTGATTGTGTTTCAAACGAATGCTACTCGCGAAATTTAGTTAGTTTTACTGTCTACAGATGGCAGTACGAGTTCCATGAATTTCTTTGCCTAATGAAGGTGGATTTTTTTTTTTTTTTTGACCTTGTTCATTTTATACGTATTTTGGCACAGTTTTTAGGGTGTTTGTACAGTAAAATGGCTCAAAAGCGAAGTTAGATAGGTTAGATGAGATGATATGATTGTGATACAGAAAACTTATCAAGTTGGAATCTGATGAAGACTTTGTTCACAGTATTTCAAGCTCAGAAGACGATTCAAACGATGAGGAAGGTTTTTCGAGTGTTCGACAGTGGTGTATAACTGATTCAAGTTCTCACGCTCCTAGCCGATTTAGTTTTACTGGTGATGTAGGCATGAAAGCTTGCGTGACAAATATTCTGAAATTCTCTATTAGAAAGAACCTACTAGACGATGTGTGGTTGTTGCAGCAAAATGATGCTAATGGAAAAAGAATTCGCCGTGAAACACGTACGTATTGCAAAGACTGTAATGCCCCATTATGTGCAATTCCATGTTTTAAAGTATATCACAGACAAAAAGATTTTAGGTAATTACTGTATTTATACTGTTCATAAAGTTTTACATTAGTTGTATTTATTTAGTCCTTTCAATTTTATTTGTCTTATATTTAAATTAACCATTATTATTATATAATTGGTTATAACATTTATAATTTACTGTTTAATAATTAATTTAAAGTACGTAAAACTGGTTTTTTGTACTACAAATATTTTAAGAAATTTTTAAAATGCACGAGGCGAGCTATCTACGGCATCGCCAGAGAAGGTGACATTTCAGAAGACGGCGGGGGGGAAAACAGCTGCCACTTTTGACTACTGTTTACTCCTAATGCTGCGCGAATTAAGTAAACGAAAACTGCTCATTTCCATAACCGTCAAAGGGTTAAATATTTTTACGCCAAAAGAGCATTATTCCAAATGCTCTTGAAACACGTATGTATGTGTAAATGAAAAAAGTGCCTTTTGAGCATAATATAAAATCTGAAAGCTTCCAGATTTTTAAAACTTTTAAATTTATTTATTTTGAATTTAACAAACAGACATTCTTTTAATAATACTGTATATATCACTAGGGTTACTATTCCTATCCATAATTAGCTTTTGTGCCAATACTTACATTTCGTCAAATGCTACCTTGTTAATTATACAGAACCAAATGAATTAGATCAATATTTTAACGTGTAGGAAATTAGAGCTAAGTGGTTAAGAAGGATAATTTCTTTTATTATTTTTTATTCATTACTTTAACTATTTTGTTCATCTGCCCGTTTCTCAATAATATGCATGTTTCTCATATAAACATTTCCTTCTCGAAAATGTAATAGCTGAAAAGAAATATACAAAAACAGAAACAGACGAGGAATGAAATAAAAATAAACTATGACTTATACATCTTTTTATATTATTTTTCTTTAAATCTTAGAAAGCATGAAAGTAAGTAAGAAATTTAATTTCAAACATTATTGAAATATAACTACAATTACCTATTCACAATAGATTTTGATGAACTATATTATTTTAGGGAGAATGAAATTACCCACCTTTATAATCTAAGCTATTTTTATTTAATTTCTTTCTGATTTTTTATTTGATACCTTTTTGTAAAATATATAGGAAAAAAAAAAAAAAAACGATACCATCATAGAGTAAATACAATAATACTTCAGACCCAGTAGCAAAAGAAAAGAACTCAAAATTTATCATTACTCTAACACGGCCTTTCGGCTCAGGGCTTGACTGCTCATCTCCAGAATCAGAAGCAAAGACAGAGCTAGTTTCCATTGAATCTCGCTCTAAATTATCTTTGATGAGCTGTAATACATAACCATTACAGTGACCATAGACTTCTGGACCTTTTAAATAACACAGACTTCCAAGAGTTTCCCCTGTAAAAGAATGAAAACAGTAAAATTTAAAACTCTATGCTATTAACTAAAAAAAAAAAAAAAAAAAATCCTCTTTTAGGAGGAAGAAAATGTAAAAGTATTTGGGAGTGTAGAACTACATTAATTAACTTCAAAGTATTATTCAACATTTTAACAAGAAACAAAGTGTATTAACCCTGATATTAACCCAGAATAACTGTCAACCATAAAAGTTAAAAAAGATCCTGTTAAACCTGTGCTGATCATTATGATTAAAGGTCAAAAGAACAGATCACTCTTTCTTTAGTTTCTTTAGTTATATAACCAACAGATACAAATTATGGATAATTGTAAAAAGCTTAAAGTAATAGGAGCTCTTCCAGAAGAATTTTGGAAAGAACAGATGGCACTTTATTTAGTCAGACAAACTGACCTATTTAAGATTAATTAAAGTCACATAAAACTAATGCAAATCTTATGGGTATCTTGTGATATCATTTATTCATCATTGGTGCTAAATCACATATTTTGTGACAACCTTTGCTTTTCAATAATTATCGATTGATCGGACAGTATGCACGTGTTATAAACTGACAATGTTATTGCCCATGTTAAAGTAAATCATAATTTTGTCATTACTGTTACTTTGCATCTGGCAGTAGAACAAAGAGTAGAATTTATATGCTTTTGTTTGAATACATGATTAAGAATGGTGATAACGTTTTCAAATCAAAATAAGTTGTAACAGCAAATGAGTGATTTTAGTATATTTTGGATAAGAGACGGGTTTATAAGCAATGAAAGTGGCATCCATGACTATGAAAAAACTACAGTAGTTAATATTGTCGATATGATGATATGATGATATGAAAGTAAGTCGATATGATGATATGAAAGTGGGGATGTTTCTGAAATTTTCAAATCTCTGCTGTAAGCAATGTTGAACAATTGAAAAGAGAAGAATCTACTTTATATTGTTTCTTTACTACAGCTTGCAACAGGGTTCGTAGCCACATTTTAGTTAAAAAAATAAGCACCTATAAGCACTTTTCAAGCACATTTTAAGAAAAAAATAAGCACTTGTCTAATTAAATTATACACTACTGCATAACCTTGAAAAATAGAAAGAATAGACTTAAAAGAAAAAATAGACTTGTAATTTAAAATATGAGAAATTCAGTATTTATTAAGAGAGAATGAGCATTACTCATCCATGGAAAACAATTACATTCTTTTTTTTTTTTAATTTTAAATAACAGTTCAATTTACAGAAATTTAAATGAGAGGGAAAAACTATGCAGAACTAAATTATATTACAATATTTAATGATGAAATTTGAGTTCAAAATAGAGAAAATAAATAATAATAAGCCATATTTATTATATTCACCATATTATTACATTAAATCAGAAGACAGCAAATTGCTTCATGCAGTCATCCTTTAACAATAAAAGCTTAACTAACCGGCATTGCCAAATACCTGAAATTCCCGATAGTAGAATGTAACTGGTAAAAGTGGAAGGGGAGTATATTATAGCCGTTTCTTTAGATTTTTCAGCTAAATAATGCTTTTGACATTCCGATATGTGCATCATATAAAAAATAGCCCAATAGAAGTGAAAAAAAATCTGCTTAGCAAGCACAGTAAAACTCTTTTATCTCTGGGAAATATCGCAAACGTTATTGCTCAATACGTGTACCTTAATTTGGAGAATAAACAACCTAAATAAAGGAAAATGTCCCTTTGCTTCATCCGGTTTTCACCATCAGGCGCCCATGTGGCATATTTATCATTGAGCAGGAAACGTCGCGCTATGCGCGATATCCCTGCCATAGTTGTATTAATTAATAAAGAGATTACCAATCTGGGATGTTTTCATTCTAATTTGAACAGACTGCGTAAATTCTGAATAGAAACATTTTTCACTTGGGTTGGTAGACCGCAGAACATTTTAGACCTATTCAATCCAGATAGAAAGTGACCAAAAAAAAAGTCCGTTGCTTGCTTTGCTACGAACTGTAATGGCTTCAATATTTGAGATTTTGCAGAGAAAGAACCCCCCCAACTTCTGTACGGTATAATGCATTGGGGGGGGGGAATTACTAAAATGCACTTATCCATTTTTGAAGTTTACCTATACTTCAGCAGCTACTGCAAATATATTATTATAAATATTCATACATATGCTCATAAAATAAGCTGATCATATAAATGCAAATATGACTGACCACACGGAAGAGAATGTAAATATTAAAATCTTGATAGAAATTCAACGTGTGTATATGGGTGGGGCAAAAGTACGAATGCATCGGAATTTCCTACCACTTTGCAATTCTTTGACCAATAGAACGATGTGCACCTGTTTATACTCGCACCCCCAAAGGCAAGAAATATACAGGGTGTTCACAGATCATGGGACTTGGGGGTGGTGAGCATACTAAACGCATTTTGTATGGAATGTAGGTCTAAGTGACGGGTTAAGGCAGGAAGCATCAACGACCCAAGGGAAATGTGTTATGTACATCACTCCATGTACAAATCATCTATATGTTCATACATAGACCTTGTTGAATACATAGATGTCTTTGCAAGGTTTTCATGCGAGAAAGGGGTGAAAAGCTATTTCAGGAAGTATGATTCACCGTCTGATGTTCCATATAACGAAGAAAAGTTGTTTATTTAGTTTTGGCTTTGATACATGGAAACAATGTGCATTCGTTAAAAAAAAAAAAGCACTAAAAGCAAAAAAATAAGCACTAAAAACAAAAAAATATGTGCTTTAGAGAAAAGTAAGCACCTATAAGGGCTTTTATATTTTATTTTCAAATATAAGGACTTATAAGCACTTGTAAGGACCGCTATGAACCCTGTTGCAACCAATTGTTGATATTCTACAACAGATCAAAATTGAGAGTAAGAAAATTAATACTCTCTGTAATCAAATAATCGATAAAGTTGAGCTTTTGTTAGCACTGCTTCTCAGTTATGTAGTTTGATTAGTTTTCTGATGCAGAATTTGATACATCTGAGTCATACTGAATTGTGTTATACAGATTAAGAGAGAATATGATAATTATAGACAAAAGGATTAGAATGCCATTCCTGGTGCTAATACATCATCTGGCACTAGTTTATAACTATCAAAATTAAAGTCGAAAGAATACAATTTAATGCTAAGGACTGGGGTTGCTTTCTGGGCTGAATTTTCAATATCCATGATGATCGAAAGTTAATGGAAGAGGATTAGTTCGATATTTCGTATAAGTCAAAACTGAAAATTAAAGCAAGAGATATAACAGATGTTACCTTGAATAGAAAACTATGGAAAACTTATTGATCATCTAATTCTAGATTTGGAGCAGATGACTTTATCAAAGCATATCTTAGAGAAGCTAAAATTTGCTAAATTAAATACTCTTTATTATCAACTAGGTACATATCTGAAAGCTCTAGAAACATTGGGTGTGACAACTGTCAATTATGCTTCTATGCTTTACCCAGTAGTTGGATCATGCCCTCCAAATGATGTTTTAAAGGCATGGGAAAGACACCAGTTGAATGAAAAATCTGATTCTGCACACTATCTGATTAAGGAAAATTGTTAGAATAAATCACACTTCTAAGAAATGAAGATGAAGGGAGAGAATGTTGTACATTAGCAGAATCTAGTTTTGTTTCACACACAGTAGTTACTAGGTCATCCCAAATTAACATGTCACTGATATGCCATCAGCACCTGCTCTTGTTTCATCTTATGATAATAAATTGACTATGTTATGCTATATTTTTTGAGACAAAACTCATGACAGAAAACTCAGATGTCTTTCTAGGAGAAGAAAGCAATAGTAATCAAGAAAAATGTTATCTGGTATATGTAATGTTATCTGGAGAGAATTTGGCAAAAACATGTTGTAAAGTGCATCACTTGTGGTCAAAGGCATTGTGTTTGTTATGTTTGGATTTAAGAAATAAAGAACAACCTGAAACAGCAGAAAATACAAGTTCTCATTTTTTCTGCTCAATCATCGCACAGAATAATATATTTAAAAATGCTTATGCTTGATATAAGAAATAGAGGTAGAATTAAATACATAACAGCACTGTTAGACTATGAATCACAGCGTGGAGAAGCTCCAACAAAGGAATTCGAGCTTACTCCTGTTGGGAAAGCAATATTGTCTGAAGGACTTTTTGGAGGAGGGCAGACAACAGAAGCGGTGCATTACCATTACAATACTCATTTAGAAAGCACTGGTGATAATTTTTCTTAGAAAGTATTCCTTCTTGATCAACCAAAGGTATGTATGAATTTATCTAGGGTTAAGGATATAGAGTTGATTTCTGAGCTAGCATGTCAAGGATTTAAATTAGCAGATATTGGTTTTACAAAACCACAAATACTGTTTAGAGCTGATGTACTACTTACAGGCAGAACAGAAATCGTGAAATCTGGAATTTTAGCAGTCAAAACAAAATTAGGATATGTACATTAGGAATACTCAAGAAAAGGGCTGCTATTAATTTAATGACTTTAAGATTCCAGAATTTTTAAGTGCCAAAATTTTGGGAGTTGAAGACTTTAGAAATCAGAGATTCCATTTGCGAGAAATTCTGTTGGCTAAAAATATATTTAGAGGTATCCCTTGGCGAAAATTGGAGATTTTTTGGCGGTACATGAATACCAACTATGTGCAATTCTTTGACCTTGCTATTTTGGCTTTGTGTAGCAGTGATTTTTGCACCAAAAATCGCCGCTACACAAAGGCCACTACTATCTTAACTAGAATCGATATGTTGCCATCACCACATAAACTCACAAAAATAAGAGTCAAAAATATCCTTTGTAGTGCCAATATCCTCCAACATTCAACCATATGTATTTCCTTCTTACAAACAGGACATTATAATGGCTACTAAATACATCTTCAATTACACACCAGTCAATTAATGCACATTTTTCCTTTCATTCCAAATCATACAGAAACTTCAAATTAATCTTACCACATTCAGCCATTCCACCCTTTCAACCACAAACCAAGCAAAGTGCTTCCTAACCAACACATACCACAAGCCCTTACAAATCTTTTTCCCAGTCATTCAAAATTTACAGTAATCATGCAACCAATTATATCATAATAGGGTTTCCAAAACATTCAACTACTCAGGTTACCATAAATGACACGACTTGGAGATAAATGAAACAACAACTTTGCAATAATACAAGGGGCACCCTTCAATCTACTTTAACCATTCCATTGAAACCTTGGATGAGATATTTTCTTTTAATTATCTTCTTTTATCTTTTTTTGAGAGTTTTATTTCTGTTATTGCTAAGGAAAATGAAACGGAATCTGGAAGGGAAATCCTTCTGAGCAGTTTATTTTAAAATACAATCTCCAGAACAAAGTTCCAAATACTGTAATACTAATGCAAACTTTCCTCTTAATTGCTGTAAATGTTGCTAGTTGTGAGAAGCCTTTTTTAAATAAAAATTCTTTAAGAACTACAGATTCATATTTTGCATCTAAGAAATCAGGTAAAAATATATTTTCGGGTACCCCTTGGCGAAAATTAGCGGTACATGGATACAGAGTTGTGCGCGCTCCCTTGACTTTAACCATGTACATGTCGACCTATTTTCTCTTAAAAAAAACATCAGAGAATTGCACAAACTTGACATTGCTCCCTCCCTTGACTTAGTCCATGTACACATCAATATATTTTCCCTTAAAAAATCAAAGGAGCACCCAATTCTAGGTAAAAGTATGTTTACGGGGTTAGAGTAGACTTTAAGGTACCTCCTTGTATTATGGCGAAGTTGTTGTTTCATTTATCACCAAGTTGTTTCATTTATGGTAGCCTGAGTAGTTCAATGTTATAGAAACCCTATTGTGACGTAATCGGGTGCATGATTCTGGGAAATTTTGAATCATGGAATGTGTTGTAAGCGTTTTTGTGGTGTGTGTTGGTTTGATTCCTTAGATGGTAGAATGGCCGAGTGTAGTACGATTAATTTGAAGTTTCTATACGATTTGGAGCGAAAGGGGAATAGAGCTTTAATTGACTGGTGTGTAAATGAAGGTTTACTTAGTAGCCATTATAAGTGTCCTGTATGTAGGAAGGATATGCATCTAGTCGAACATAAAAACCGTTTAGATGGATTTGAATGGGTTTGTAGGAAGAAAGGTTCAGATGGTCACTATGTGAAGCATTCGATCAGAAAGAGTACCTGGTTTGAAAAAAGTAATTTCAGTTATGATTGTTATTTTGATTTTTACGTGGCTCTGGGTGTACGAAGCGAACTCGAAAATCATGGTAAGTGAATATTTGCTTTTGGTAGTGCTTAAATGTATAACATGTTTTTCCTTTTTTATGTTATTTTATTGTTTGGTTTAAAATGTATTTTATTGAGATTATGTATTTTTGTTTGCCTATATTGTAGAATTTGGTGCTCCTTTGACTTTGTAAGTGAAAATATATCTATGTGTACATGGACAAAGTAAGGTGAGTGCGCAATGCAATTTGTGTAATTCTGGGATTTCTTTTTAAAAGTGAAAATAGGTCGATGTGTACATGGATAAAGTTAAAAGAGTGTGCAATGCCACTTTTTTTGCAATTCGTGGATTTTTTTTAAAGTGAAAATAGGTCAACGTGTACATGGATAAAGTCAAAGGAGTGCACAATGCCATTTTTGTGCAATTCGGGGATTTTTTTTTAAGTGAAAATAAGTCGATGTGTACATGGGTACCGAGTTTGTGCAATTATTTGTCTTGTTATTTTGGCTTTGTGTAGTGGCGGTTTTGGAGCCAAAAATCGCCACTTCGCAAGCCTTTTACAGTTTACGGAACATTCAACTACTCAGGTTACCATAAATGAAATAACAACTTGGCGATAAACGAAACAAAATTTCGTGATAAATGAAACAACTTCGTGATAATACAAGAGGTACTCTTCAGTCTATTCTAACCAGAGATCTTTCTCTATTATCCGCGTAACAGCAACAAACAGACTTCTGCAATTTCATTGGTCATTTTTAGAACATAGACACAAGCAAAATAATACAATATTAAAATGCTAAAATTAAAGTTTTTGTTTAAAAACTGACTATATGCCGTTTTGATTTTTTTCTTAGTTATTTGTTTTTATATCAAGAGGGATGGCAAATTCAAGAATCGCCCTCAGCGGCAAAAATTCTACTTAGGCTACTGATTAATAAGAAGACCTGTTAGTTGACGTTATAAACATCTTGAGTATTCTGCCAAGAAAATTACTTCTTGGAGAGGAAACCCAATAAAACTCTATAACCCATTAACTAGTTGGGAATTGAACCTCGGATACTATTAGTTTTCAATTGACAAACGACAAGAAATTAAATCCTGAATTATGAAACATAACAAATAAAAAAGAAGCGTGCTCACTACGCAATATACACACTCACCTGCAGCTAATCGAATTCTGACTTCAGTATCTGTCAAATATTCTAAGCAGTATTTATACACATCTTCCAAAAAGATTTCAGATTTATTGTCTACGTTCAGCTCTTTTAGTCGCATGATAAGTGCTTTGGCACCCAAAAGGGCACCATGTCTCGATTCCCATTCACTTTCAGTGATTTTAAAAGGTTTAAGTAACAATTCTTCTATAATGTGTACATTGTGAGCATTAGTGTTATTTAAATATTCACTTAATTGCTTTACGCCTTGATCACGCTCCAATTTCCTCTTACTAAATAATGAACTGAAGACAGAATTAATATCCTCCATTTTATACAATAAAAGATAATAAATACAAGATTAATACATATATTAAATAAAAATAAGCACAATTTAAATGGATAAGGTCTTCACGATCAGTTACAAGCAGACTGGCGAGAGTAAACAAAAATGTTATTGCCAATTTAGCTGTCATATTTTTATGCATAAAGATGGCTGGAAATTTTATTCTTACTAAAAATCAAATAAAAAATTAAATATGAATCTTCCGATTTACTTTCTCATTTAATGTTAATTTTTAAATGCATCAAAAGTTACTAACGCCAAAGATAACGAAGCGATATTTGGTAAGATAATTTTTGCGTCAAAGCGGTTACTTATTTTTAGCTTTGACCGCGTATAGCAACGGAAACGGCGCAGGACGCAATATGACAAGAATCTGTGATAATATTTTGAATTTGTTTGGCGGTACACAGTACTTTATATTATTTTGATAAAGTTACTATTTGGAGGTAGTAAGTTTTTTTATATTATTCTTTGCTGTTATTAAATTGCAGTAGCGCATATTGTGTCATAAAGTTAAAAAAGATTTTTAAAGTGTTTTGTATTAATTGAGCAATTTCTTACTGTTTCTTTATTTTGCTCAGTTTGATTGTCATAGATAGGCCTAAGGATATCTGTATAATTTTGTTTTTGATTATCTGGCCATTGTTAAACCTTATTCTGCATACTATAGAGTGTCAATGCGTAGTAAACTGTGTATTTTTTATTCTTTTTTTTTTTATAAGTTAAAATAGAACTTTTTATTACAATGTTTGCTGTTGACATATCGGATTTCATGTTTTCCTTTAAATATATTTCTGATGCATTTTGTAATATTACTAGTTTTGCTGCTTACGCAATATAAATAAATATAATGTGCATAATATTTGTGAAATTTTGCTGATAATTCGCTAAGAATTGCAAAATGACCTCAGTGCCGATTTTATGTAAAACTTATTCCATCATGAATAAAGTAGTTAGGCATGTTTCCAAAATTTGGTGTGTTTTACTATGAAAATATTCTAAGGTCAAAATGTGAATTCTAAAAGAATTTTGGTTATCTGATTTAAATAAAGTGTTTTGAAATAAGAATGTTTTAATTTTTTTAATATTAAAAAAGTAATTATTTCTACATTTAGTGATTGATTTTTTTGGTACTATTCGGTTTCGAGGGCCGTAAAAAAATTGCAGCAAAAATGTACTCGCAAAAGCGCCAAATCTAACAAACCTGCCCATTTAACAGTGCTCCAAATCTAGCGTACGCACTGATTTCAAATTGCGAAAGTTTATATAGTTCTATATTTCTTAAGACGCCATTGAAATGCTAGTTTAATTTTTGAATCCTTTTTTTTGATATCCTATGGATTAACAATTTGGGAATTGCCCATGACGAAAACTCGGCAATAGCATTTTGGGGCAGAATTTGGGGCAGAACGCACTGATTTCAAATTGCGAAAGTTTATATAGTTCTATATTTCTTAAGACGCCATTGAAATGCTAGTTTAATTTTTGAATCCTTTTTTTTGATATCCTATGGATTAACAATTTGGGAATTGCCCATGACGAAAACTCGGCAATAGCATTTTGGGGCAGAATCACCCCCCTGCTTGACGCGTTTTTAAGAACTGCACATACTCAATATCCATGTGCACATCGACCCATTTTCACTTTTCCTAAAAAAAATTCGGTTGATCTTTACATTATAGTAACTTGGAGATTTTATAGCGAAAATTTGGTAACCAACTCTCCTACAGCAACCCTCTTTTTTTTTCCCCCCGCCGCCATTTTGTCTTCATGAAGTAAAGACCTGTTTCTTTTCTTTTTATCTACTGAACACTTCTTCCAACAATCTAGTAGCCGAATTACACTTAGGCTAGAAATTTTATCAACAAAAACTGCTTAATCATGACAAATATTCACTGGCAAAATTGGGAAAAAGTGCACAATACCATACTCCTTACGCGTTTTTCAAAATAACACATCCACATAAACCATGTATACGCCGACTTATTTTTACTTAAAAAAACATCCCAGAATTGCACAAAAATGGCATTGCGCACACTCTTCACTATATCCATGTACACTGCTTTTTTCTCATAAATTAGAAAAATTTCACGAAAATACATGACAATTTTCTCAATCTTTAAACCCCAAAATGCTAAAAAGAACATATATGAAATTACCTGATCGCGAAAAAGTATTTACCCTTTACAAATATGAACATTTCCACATATAAAATAAATAAAATATCCAAAAACTTTTACCTCTAAATCATCTATTACATTATACACGTCACCAACGAATTCATACCGCAAGCATTACAAATACTTAGTATCAAATATTTAAATTATTTCCATGCACGTTTATTTCAACTTAAATGTATACCAAATTCCTACGAACATAAAATTCCCAAAATAACTATCATTTAATTAAAATATCACTAAACCATGTACACATCGACTTATTTTTACTTAAAAAAACATCCCAGAATTGCACAAAAATGGCATTGCGCACAATCTTCAGTATATCCATGTACACTGCTTTTTTCTCATAAATTAGAAAAATTTCACGAAAATACATGACAATTTTCTCAATCTTTAAACCCGGTAAAAAGAACATATATGAAATTACCTGATTGCGAAAAAAGTATTTACCCTTTTCCAAATATGAACATTTCCACATATAAAATAAATAAAATATCCAAAAAAACTTTTACCTCTAAATCATCTATTACATTATAAACGTCACCAACGAATTGATACCGCAAACCATTACAATTACTTAGTGTCAGATATTTAAATTATTTCCATGCACGTTTACTTCAAACTAAACGTATACCAAATTCCTACAAACAAAAATTCACAAAATAACTATCATTTCATTAAAATATAATTAAATTCAAAAACACTACTTAAAATATAAATGAGCACATACATTAAATTAATAAAAATTACCTTACAATCCTAATTACTTTAAACTAACTAAATTCATTGCTAATAACAATTTTCCCAATAATACCAAATTCCTTTCCACCTTACATTTAGAACAATGCATAAAAATAATATCCTCAAATAATTAAAAAATACTAACTTACCTAATCTTCTTCAGAATCTTGATTACGTGGCGGATACACTTTTCTAATTCATTCAATAAAATTATTGAAAGATTTTTTCTGCGAATTTTTCCTCCATACTTCCTCCGCTAAATAAAAAGCAAACTTCTCTTTATGACAATGCCTAAATACCCATTTCGAATTCACTTTAGTTAGGGCCATGGGATCCAAAAATTAAACAACACTGTTTCACACAACACAGAATAAAGCTAAATACAAAATTTCCACATTTTTTCCCGATTTCCCCCCTTTTCCGATTAAAGAACCGTAATTCGTCCATTAATATCCCATGACATATCCCATGATCTCTCATTTCCCTCACGCAAAATAATGCATAATTGGAACTGAGTACTGCTCACATTATTACCAAAGTCCCAGGTAGTAACCTTTATCGCCTCCAAAATGTCGCCAAACTACCAGTTACCATATTGTAAAGATCAACCAAAAATTCCTAGAATGGCACAAAAATGGCACTGCGCACACCCTTGACTTTATCTATGTACACATCGACCTATTTCCATTTAAAAAATAAAAGAAAATTGGGCTAATCTTTGGAATATGGTAACAGGTAGTTTGGCGACATTTTGGTAAGGCGATAAAGGTTACTAGCTAGGACTTTAGCTGTGTACATGGGTAAAGTCAAGAGTTGTGCAATGCCATTTTTGGGCAATTCTGGGATGTTTTTTTTAAGTGAAAATAGGTCGACGTATACATGGATACCGTGTATGTTCAGTTCTTAAAAACGTGGCAAGCAGTTTACGATTGTGCACTTTCTCCCAATTTCGCACCTAATCTTCGTCATGATTAAGCACTTTTGTTCCATTAAAGTTCTAGCATAAGCATAATTCGGCTAGCAGATTGTTGGGAAAAAAAAAAAAAAAAATACCTTTACTTCATGAAAACAAAATGGCATCCAAAAAAAAAAAAAAAAAAAACTAGCAAGTTGCTGTAGCAGGGTTGGTAGCCAAAAAATGAAGTTACCATAATTCGAAGATTAACTGAAAATTGACAAAAATCCAATTGTTTTTACCCTTGTAAAAAGCGGCAAACAAATAAATGAGTGATTCAGCACTTTACCGAGAATATTTTCAAAGAAAAGGCATCATTCATTATAGAAAATTCTGTAATTATGTTTGAACAACCAGCGAGATGAAATTATGCTTTAGCGATAACTCGTTAGAGAAATAGCTATGCAGGCATCCATTCAGTTATGTTTAGCAATTTTTATATAAATTATAATAATGATTTGAAATAGTTATTTACTCTTATGCTTCCATTCAGTCATGTTTAGCCTTTTTCATATAAATTATAATAAGAAGAAAGTATTATATGAAATTAACCTTTCATCTAAATTAAAACATCAGTCTTAAATAGTTATTTATTATTACACTTCCTTTCTTGCCGCAATTATTTTTGGCAGCATTGGCATCCGTAATAGTTTGGCGATTTTTTTTATGGCCTTCGAAACCGAATAGTACCACTTTTTTTATGTTGTAATTTAGTAAGTTGAATTTTTTAATATTATAACAAATGCTTGTTTTATTTCAGTGTGTTTTGCGGATGAAGGAACATCTGTAATTATTTGTACATTGTTATTGTTAGAAGTTTCATAATGAGAAAAGGTTTGACATTTCAAATATTTTCTTTGGTTTAAAATAAGTATTTGTAAAATAAAAGTGTTCATTTGTATATTGCTTAAAACTTGTCTATTGTCCAGAAATGTAGAATTTCTTTTTAGAATGTAGTATCCTTATTTGCAGTTTCAGAAGTTGGCAAAATAATTTTTAAAGAAAGGCATATTTCTACTGAAGTTGTTTTGGTACTTGCGTATTATTGTAACCTCCTTAGTTTTTAAAACTTTAACCTCATAGTTTATAAAACTTTAACGAATTTTTGATTAACAAACTCAAGGATTTCAAAGTGAGCAATGGCAATGTTGTACAGAAAAACATTTTTAGCTCTAGCACTTGAGACTTTGTATCAGAAATTCTAAAGATACGATCAATTTAAAATTATTTTGCAATATTGCTCTTGAACTGAATTTTATGATTTAACCATTTGCGCTACAACTAAACTTCATGGTTGCAGTGCCGTGCGCTACAATGTAACAAGCGGTAAAGTGGCTCATTTATGCCGCTCCGTGTCTGCGAGTGCAATCCAGAGCTGCAACTCGAGAAATAAACAATCTTGTTGTTAGGCGACATGTGCACCATGTTATTTTTATTTTTGCGCACGGTTTGAGACAAAAGCATCTCGACGTTCGTGGCACGTCTTTTAAGCGCAAGTGGTTAAGTGCAAAGAATCTGATATTTAATAAATAAAGGGGTTGATCTTTACAATATAGTAACTAGTAGTTTGGCGATAAAGGTTACTACCTGGGACTTTGGTAATAATGTGATTTATAATGTGATTTATATGTGATTTGGTAATAATGCATTTCCGATTACGCATTATTTTGTGTGAGGGAAATGAGAGATCATGGGATATGTCATGTGATATTAATGGACGAATTACGGTTCTTTAATCGGAAAAGGGGAGAAATCGGGAAAAAATCTGGAAATTTTGTATTTGTCTTTATTCTGTGTTGTGTGAAGCAGTGTTCGTGAATTTTTGGATCCCATGGCCGTAACTAAAGTGAATTCGAAATGGGTATTTATGTATGTATTAATTTAATGTATGTGCTCATTTTTATTTTAAGTAGTGTTTTTGAATTTAATTATATTTTAATTAAATGATAGTTATTTTGCGAATTTTATGTTTGTAGGAATTTGGTATACGTTTTAGTTGAAGTAAACGTGCATGGAAATAATTTAAATATCTGACACTAACTATTTGTAATGGTTGCGGTATGAATTCGTTGGTGACATGTATAATGTAATAGATGATTTAGAGGGTAAAAGTTTTTTGGATATTTTATTTATTTTATAGTAGAAATGTTCATATTTGGAAAGGGTAATACTTTTTCGCGATCAGGTAATTTCATATATGTTCTTTTTACCGGGTTTTAAAGATTGAGAAAATTGTCATGTATTTTCGTGAAATTTTTCTAATTTATGAGAAAAAAGCAGTGTACATGGATATAGTGAAGAGTGTGCGTAATGCCATTTTTGTGCAATTCTGGGATGTTTTTTTTAAGTAAAAATAAGTCGGCGTTTGTACATGGTTTATGTGTATGTGTTATTTTGAAAAACACGTAAGGAGTATGGTATTGTGCACTTTTTCCCAATTTTGCAGTGAATATTTGTCATGATTAAGCAGTTTTGTTTGATAAAATTTCTAGCATAAGTGTAATTCGGCTAGTAGATTGTTGGAAGAAGTGTTCAGTAGATAAAAAGAAAAGAAACATGTCTTTACTTCGTGAAGACAAAATGGTGGCGGGGAAAAAAAAATAGAGGGTTGCTGTAGGAGAGTTGGTCGCCAAATTTTCGCCAAAAAAACGCCAAGTTACCATAATGTAAAGATCAACCAATAAAGGTAACACACAAAATGTTAAAGAAAAGCCCCTTTGGACGTAATGTAAAATCTAAAACCTTTCAGGTTTTTGATTAATCTTTGGATTATGGTAACTTGGCGATTTTTTGGCCAGCAACCTGCTAGTTTTTTGGGAAGGACGCCATTTTGTTTTCACGAAGTAAAGGCTTTTTTTTTTTTTTTTAACTCAACATTTTTTTCCAACAATCTGCTAGCCGAATTACGCTTATTCTAGAACTTTTATGGAACTGAAGTGCTTAATCATGATTAAGATTAGGTGTGAAATTGGGAGAAAATGCAGAATCGCCCACTGCTTGGCGCGTTTTTAAGAATTGCACGTACACGGTATCCATGTACACGTCGATATATTTTCACTTAAAAAAAATCCCAGAATTGCACAAAAATGGCATTGCGCACACTCTTGACTTTATCCATGTACACTGCTAAAGTCCTAGCTAGTAACCTTTATCACCTTACCAAAATGTCTCCAAACTATCTGTTACAATATTCCAAAGATTAGCCAGTTTTTTTTTTTTTTTTTAAGTGTTTTTTTAACACTTGATTTGCCTTGAGTATACTGTCAAATTCCTGTAAACCAGAGGATGTGCCCTAAACAGCTGTGACCACCCCATTTGGTTGAGTTCCTCAAAACCTCATTTGGTTTATAAAACACACACCAAACATTCCAAAGATTTATCCATTAAGTACTTTCTGGCTTAGAATTTTGTGTTCCCTGTTTTAATGATTTACTTGTGACTTCAGCAGATTAAGACGAGCTTGAGAGCTGCTTGGTTTTTGATTAATTGTAAAAATATAGGTTAAAATTGGATTCTTCTAAATATATTCTTAGAGGGTTATTGGTATTGTTTGTTGACTGTTTAATTACCCCTTCTGGCTTTTGTCATTTTCCTGAAAAACTACAATAATTTCTAACTTCCCTAAACATATAAACATAACACTAAAATAAGAAAAATTATGAAGCATATATGCACATGCTTTAAAAAATGTTTATCTAGAATACTTAACTGATATAACCTACTTCTTGCATTTTTGGAAAAACTAAATGTGTCTAGAGTTAAGATAAAAGGCTCTGTTGAAAGTTATAAAATACCTAAAGTAAATGGAGATGTGTAGGTACTACTTCCGCAGTTAAAAATATGTTAAAATAGGTAAAGCAATTTATGCACCAGTGAGCAATTTATTTGGCAGTTCTCAAAATAATACTACAAAATATAAGCATAAAGCTAACACGAATTTCTCTCAAAATTAAAAAAAAAATTGCTCAACAAGGAAAACATTTTGCCTTTTTTTTTTAAAATAGACTCGCCGTGCACACAGATGTACAACACGAGGCTTACAGAAGTAAGTTAACTAAAACATTAAAAGTTGTATGCATAAGTAAAGCTAACAAAAGCAGAGAACAGCTGTCTGGTCTTCATGAAAACAGATAAGTTCACTGGCCAAATCACTCCGAACATTTTCAAATTTGTCTGCAAGCATAATCTAGGGCCATTAAATGTAAGCATGAGAAAATCAAATGTTGTACATCCTGAGGTACTCTTTTTTAACTTTCAAATAATTTGCTTGATCTTCGATTAAAACAAAACAGATTAACTTGCAAATTTACCGTGGCCAGATAAAAACTGAGAAACTTTCAAATTAATAGAGAGGAAAGATTCGGAATGCAGTCTGTGGTAAAAAGAAGGAAAGAAAATTTTTCTGACCTAAGCATTAGCTAAGAGCTTCTTATAATGAAAGCACTTCCAATAGCTCTTTAGAATGCTAATGTTGGTATGAATGGGTAAATTTAAGGCATCTTTAGCTAAGAAATCGGCTCTTTCATTTCCATAGAAACCGAAAATGTCACCGTTCCTGATACAAAAATATATACAAGCTACTATTGGTGAGCCAAAGACAATAAAACGACTTTGCTCTAGAGATCTTCTCATAGAAACAGTTTCTCCAGCTCAGTCTGCTAGACTTCTCAAACTCAGAAAACTTGAGCAAGTTGACATTAATGTGACAAAACACGAATAATTGAATTACAGCCAGGGCGTTATATCTGAGACTGGCCTCCTCGTAGTTTCAGAAGAAGAAATTGTCTCAGAGCTATCTGATCAGAATGTCTGTGCTGCAAGGTGAATCAAGATGCGCAAAGAAGGTGAGTTGATCAATACGAAACACGTAATCCGTGTTTTCAATGCCAGTGATTCGCCCACTAAAAAATGTCGTGTGGTGGCAAACTTGCATGTGCACGTTTCTCTGTGATTGACAGTGAAAATATCAGTGCCAGCCCAATATTTGCAAATTGCAAAGGGGAGCACACAGTATTTTCTCGACTTTGCCCAAAAAGGCAGTCTGATAAGGAAGTGCAAACTATTAAAATAACTAGAAATATTCCGTATGCAGAAGCAAAAAAAAAACTAGTAGCAGAGTCGCAGTCTCGAAAAACTGTATCATATGCTACAAATGCAGTAAAATCTATCAAATCCACCCAAACAGCCAGTCCAAAATCTATGACCAAATGCATAACAAAACCTGAACATTCAATAATAACAATAGAATATAATAAAGTGAAAGAAAACCTTATTGGAAACAAAGGAAAACAGAAAATATCAAAACCTCATAGAAACATAAGTGTCGGCTCTTCTGTAGCTCTCTGATAATCTTGACTCGGAGATGGAGGTGGAAGAGGGTTTGAACATGCCGAAGAACCTACTTTCATGTAAAAGCAAAACACAGCACAGGAAAGTCAAAAATCAGACATAATGGCCACCCTCGTTTCTTGGAATTGTCGTGGTTTCCATCATCATCTTGATAACATCAAATACTTGATCAATCTGCATCATCCCATGGATTTAGCTTTGCAGAAAACTCTACTGAAACCAGAGAAACAAACTAAACTTTGAAGGTTCTCAATTTTTAGGAAAGACAGTTTTGTCAATGCCAGTGATAAAAATATGGAAGAAAAAGTATGGGGAAAAAATGAGTAATGGCATATCAGTAAATGTGCTGGAAAGGCTCTAACTCAGAACTGAAAAGCAGAAATTGTATCTTAACTACGTATTCATCTACATTTCGCTTCTTCCTCCCCTAAAAGTAAAAAGAGCTGTGATTCTAAGTTTGCTGCTTTCAATAAGAGGGAAAGCTAAAATTTTCACTTTTACTAAAGTTACATAATAATACTATTTTTATTAACGGATACATAACTAATATATTGAAACTTTTTAAATTAGACATAAACTAAACCTTTGCTTATTCTAGATTTAGAATAAAGCTGTTGATTTTTAAGGATGATCAGATACAAATCTATCTTCTCTAGGAGCAAAAATCTTGTTTTTGAAGAAACTTCTTAAAGTGTTTCTTTGTGTGATTAAATTATACACAAAGAAAACAGTATTTAAATTGCTAATCATGTGATTGTGCTATGTTTGAATAAAATATAAATTTGAAATAAGTACGAAAATTAATTTCTTCTTTTTAGAGTAAAAGAAACCTAATTCTTCTAGCCATTTTTATCCAATCATAGAAGAAATTTACGAGCCTTGAATAAATTATAAATTTTCTCTTTTAAGTCAGCACTTGGCAAAATATTTGTGGCTATTTTTTATATAAGTTATAATTTTTGTTGTTAACCCTTGTTGCGTTGAATACCATGTAGAGAAGTTACGATCTTTGGAAAATGATTTCTTGAGGCATTCAATCACAGTGCCTTTGTGAGAAATTGTTTTTTTTTTTTTTTTTTTTTTTTTTTTTTCCCCACAGTTTGTATGCAGGAGAATTCAAATGTATAGAAAAATATCTGCTTGCGTTCTTAAAAATTTTATTTAATTTTTGAATTCAAAATCTCAAATTTCTTCTATGCAAGTCTTGTAATTTTCCATGCTAAAAATGCTTTATTAAAAATTACGTGTCAAAATCAATTGTAAAATAATAGAAAAAGGTTCAGTGACCGTCAAGAGGTTTTTAAGTCTTGTAATTTTCCATGCTAAAAATGCTTTATTAAAATTTATGTGTCAAAATCAATTGTAAAATAATAGAAAAAGGTTCAGTGACCCTCAAGAGGTTTTTATTATATTTTTTAACTAAATTAAATAATATATAATTATGTAAATGTTTTTCAATTTTTAATTATAAATTTAACTGTTTTAGGCCTGAAACTTCCTAGAATTGCAGCTAATGGTCACAGACTACCAGATCCATTGCCTCGTGGTGCTGTTTTAACTGATGTTATGAAGCGGCAGTGGAAGCTTGGAAAGTCTATTGGACTTGGTGGTTTTGGTGAAATATATTTAGGTCATTACTTTCATTAGGTTTTCATAAAGCTTTTATTCATATTGATTTTAAAATATTCTTTTCAGCTGTATATATGTAAATATTACTAACAAATAATTTTTAAACTGTGTAATCCAGTAGTGCTTAGCATTCTGTTTGTAATATGATATCTTATTTAAGTATAAGAGAGGCCCTAAGCAGATGAAATTCAGACAAATAAGGCAAAATAAAAAAAATAATAATAACCCTGCAGTGTGGTAGTAAACACTACTCACCACTATTTAGATTCTTATTTAATAAAATTTATTTCAGGATGTTTACATCCAGAAGTTTAAATACTTTGATCTTAAAAGAAATTAATAGTTTCACCCTTTTGGTTTAATTTATAGTCTCTGTTAGTGTCCTTATTTTTTGCTTTTTCAATACATTTTTGTGGCCATGACATGACGGTGACCACATGTGTCAGAGTAGAATCATTGTTCTTTTAAATCACTGTTAAAGCTTTCTAATAACTTGAATAAGTGAAATTTACCTGACAACAGAACTCGGCAGCGACCGAGTGGTCAAGTCCCTGAAACACTAGTAGCTCGACCCGAGTTCAATTCCAGGTGAACGAGCATGGGCATTTTTTGTGATTTTCCCCATGGGTGACATGGGTACAAACCCGTTCGCCTTCCGAAATCGTCCACAAATGCATTCCTTCTTTGAAGCTGTGTAGCGTATTTGTAGGGTGTTTTTCTTTATGTCTGGAATCACATCTATTTCCTTTTATAGCCCTCCCATACTTTGTTATAGGTATATTCGAATATACGTGTGCTACGAATATGCGTTACGACTTTTACGACTACGAATATGCGTGTGCGCATGCCCAAAATACGTTAACGCATGCACGTTTAATGTATATCGGACGGTATAAGCTAAGCTAAAATTATGTAATTCAGTTAATGTTGCAGACTGCGTTGTTTCTTAATCTTCGAATTGGATCCGGCTTATTATTTTTTGCAGACTGTTAGAGCAATTTCATAAAAGTAAGTTTGAACTTTCGATTATGTCAAATAGAATTTCCGATATATATTACTAATATGTAAAGGATCTACAAAGCGAAAGTATGTTTCGGAGTCCATCAAACAAAAAGTGGAATTGCTGCAAAAAATGGATAAAGGCATATCCTTTGTTTATCTAACCATTCCAAAATCTGTTTATGAATTTCACGCTGCTCTGCGGCGGGGGGACGCCGCGGCGCACAATGAATTGGAAGTTGATCTGTCAGCACTATCCTTATCTTCAGGGCAGATGTTTTTATCTTATTTGGCTTACAATTCCTTACTAAATGTATTTCATCTCGATGTACTCAGAGTCGTAGCTAGGGTTTTCAGCACCCAGGGACAACTGAAGATTTTGCGCCCCCTACTGCTTGCCAAGGATGGAAAAGATTTAATTCTAAAATGTCGTAACATCAGTTTGGCACTCCTTGGATTCTGCGCCCAGGGACAGATGCCCCCCTTGCCCCCTCTAGCTATGCCCTTGGATGTACTCCGTCTTTGATATGATTTAAATCAAATTCCTCGTCATTATAATTCGCTTCCGATAGCGAAGAAAGTAAAGTAAACAAATAAATATTAAGCTTTTTTTTTTTTGTAAATTTTGATACCTTTTAGATCATAATTGTTCTTTATTTCATAAATTACAGTTTCATATTTTTAATTTTATAATTTCTGCATGCCATCTTACCAGATTTAAACTGATGATCTATAATCCAGGAAAATCGATAATCCGGAATCGCCGAAGTCCCGACGAGTCCGGATTAACGACTTTTGACTGTACATTCTAAATTTCTAAACTTTTAGAATCATTTTTCTAAAATCATTGCATTTCAGGTGCCAATCTGAGAATCCTAAATCAAAATTAAATTATAGACATAGAAAAATAAAAATACTACATGGTTTATGTAAAACTTTCATCTTTTGATTATACACCTTATATTCAAAACAAACATGCAGTTATACTTACATAAAATTCAAAGTTAGTAATGAAATATAAATTTACAATTTAGAAAGTTATTTGAAAATTTTCAAATACATAAATGTAAGTTCTAAAACAAATGGTTTTCAAAATAAAGGATTTATTGATGAATATTTATTTATTTATTGATGGTGTTAACTGCATATGTATCTGGTTAACAAATTAAAATAAACAGATATCTGAAATTTGAAAAAGTAGCTTCACTTGTATTTAATAGTGGTATATTGACTAAGTGTAGATAGGTTGATCTTTACAGTCATTAAAATGCTTTTCTTGCATTTGGACTTGGATTAAAGAGGGAATTTTGGCTTAAAAGGGATCTTGAATCACTCTGAGTGCCTCTTCAGGATTCTGAATCTAAGTGCATTTAATTTAAACTAAGTTATGTATCCACTATACCACTGTGATCAGTCTTTTACCCAAATAAAACTTGTTTATCTTGAATTAAAAAATAAAACATATTTATTATATATTAAATATTAGCATGAGAAATTAAATTCAGCTGAATCTAAAGTAAAAAGGCATGGCTCTAACCATACTGTGTTTCTTCAGCTTCTTTTGAGGGTGTTGCTGCATTGATACTTTGAGTCTATTTTTGTTCTTTTACTTCTTAACATCACTACTGACACCTACCTTTACCTGACTTTGTTTTATGCAATACCACTTCTGGCATGGTAATCGTCTTGCTTTTTAAAAAGATGAAAAAAAAAAAAAAAAAGCATTTATTATCAGTGTTATCTAAAAAATAATTGGTGTAAATATTCAGCTACCTTTGATCTTATAAAATAATATGAATTGCTTGGGGGTGTTGAAAATGCACTGAAGGTCTGGACCATATTTTCAGCTAACACCAAAAAATTGAGAAATTTATTCTACAAAAAACAAAGCAAGACCCAAAAGTTAATGTAGTAAAACTTTCAGCAGATTTAGAGGAGCACTTTGTAATAAATGTAAACCTTGAATTAATACAGTACTCGGATACAATGTGAAATCAGCAAGAAGGAAATTCTTTGTTGACAAGTAAACAGCTGGTGTTCACAAAATAGTAAGCTGAGATGTATCGTATTCGAAGTATTTGCAAAAGAGTCGAATTTTAATATGTTTCCGTTTGATGGATGAATTACTGTGTGGCAAATAATGAATAATTGAATTTAAAAAAATGCCCTGTTGCTTACACGCACAGGGATAGAGGCATAATGGTTTGAAGTGCTGATAGAAAATAATGCAGATCAATTTATATATAAATATTTATAATGGTGCATCTGCAGGAAAATTTAGATTGTAAAATACATTTAAATTCTATCGGGATAAATCCTACCGAACATGTATTAAGTATGTTGGAAAAAAGAATAAAGAAACATATTTCTTCAAAAGCTCTACTAAAACCTATTCATATAGAGCAGGGAAACAAGTGGAACATTCTTACATGAAAATATATTGAGTCCATGCCAAAGCAAGTGAAAAATATAATTTTAGGTAAAGGATATTCAATAAAATATGTTAGTATTCCTGTATTGTATTGTAAGTATGTTAGTAGTGTGTGTTTTTATTAAAATGTTCATTAAAGTGTCCAAATATGTATATGAGTTCATTTCAGAATGTTTTAAATAAATTAATTTTTATCATAAATATTTTAAGTATTTTTATTTAAACAAGGAGGTTTTAAAAAGATGAACAATAATATATGTGGCAAAAAAATTAAGCCATTTGGTGAATGTTCAGTAACTGATATTTCCAATTAAAATTGAAAAACACAGGTGAGGAAATCAAATGTGAGTCACTCATAAGCTGAAGTATAAGCTGTGGGCTAATTTGATCCCAAACCAAATAATAACTGGATTCTCTTAGTACCATTTGAAAGGCTCCCTCCCCAACCCACCTTCCATAATATGTAGAATCAGATATGATGAAGGACAATTATGAGGTGTGGGAGTTTTTTTTTTTTTGGGAGGGGGGTATTCAGTAGGGGATGTGTAGACAGGAAATGATTAGCTTAATGTAAATAGTGTGATTGAGTCATTTGTAGAATACTGTATCATAAAATAGATTAATTCAGGAATTTTTATTTTATTCCTGTATTTGATGAAAGATAAATGGTTGCATTAAGAGTTGGAAATGACTGCTTAATTTTAAATTTGTTTACTATGTCAAGGCATTTAGATAGCAAAAAACTTTTGTTCTTGCTGAATGGAGAAATGGAAATACGTCAAAATTCTTTTAAAAGCTCCAGATTATTTTTATAAACTACTGCTACATTGTTTTTCTTCAAAGCTTGTAAATTTCAGCTATGTAAATTATATTAAGTATGTATATTTGATGTACTGTTACATTAAATATTTATGTATTGTTTTAAACTTTAACTTGAAGACTGCCACCTGCATGGAGGAATAACTAAGGTTTTTTCTACAACAGCAGACATTACCTGCACTGTAATAAAATTTAAAAAATAAAAAATAAAAAAAACTTGTAGTAAACATGTTACAATGTAAATATTTTCTAAAATTAAGCATCCTTCTTTATTTTATGCAATAAATCTTTTTAAAGATTTTGCATAGGTTTTAGTAATGAACATATATAATAAATGTGTAATATTGTCATAATTTTTTTTAACTTGTGTTAATTGCTATTTAAATCCTTAAAATAAAAAACCTGTGGTACCTTTTAGTTAGCTGGGCACAAGCGAAAAGTCGGCAAATAATTTAGCCAGGTGCAAGTGTAATGCCGAAAAATAATTTAGACCTACGCCAACTTGCATACAAAACTGACGGGAATCATTCACCGTCATTTCTTGTATTAATTTAAAACAAGCAACTCTATTTTTACTATTGCATAAGTTTGGTGTTCAAAAATGCTGGAAAAGAAGAAAGGAACATTGGCAACAAATTCAACATTTAATGAAAATCATGAAATGAAATTTTATTTTCCGGATGGAGTTAGATGGTGTCGCAATCTTTCTGTCTGCCGCAGCTAGAACAGCATTCTTAAAGACACATGGTTGGAGATGTCCATATTAAGTTTTCTAACATCTTTAAAATTTACTTATGCTTGGAGTAAAGAAATGACATTAATCAAATGGTATGAAAAACATTTGGAGATGAATCATTCAATGTTTCTAGATTGGAACAACTACTTGCGAGAAATTTGTGTAGAAATATAAGTGAAGCATGAGTGAAAAAAAAGTTAGTGGTTCTAAAATGATAGTTGAAATCGCCGAAAGCTTGTGTACCTGACAAAAAAGCAATGTTGGTTGAATTCTTCCGGAACAGTATGTATTTGGTGGTATTTGCAGCCAAACCGATGAATGTTTCCTTGTTAAGGTTGCAAACCGTTGTCTACCAGTACTGTTAGACACAATAAAAAACCATATCGAAGAAGGAACTATTGTTTATTCAGATTCTTGGAAGGTTTACTGCAGCAATCAAATTGAAGAAGCAGATCTACAGAATATCAGAGTCAACCACGGGTTTAATAATTTTTTTGAATTTGACACTGGTGTGAATATACAAAAATTGAACGACTTTGGGACAGAGCCAAATAGTGAAATAAAAAACATCAAGGCACTGCCCATCAACACGTGGAGTCGTACCTTGCTGAATTTATGTGGAGAAGAGTAGTAAAGAGGAATTTTGAGGAATTCCTAAAATTCCTCTTTAGATATTCCATTTGAGGAATATCTAAAGGAAATTTGTGTATTTTGGAAGAAATGAATAAATATAAAAATTTCGTCTGTGTATATTCATGAAAGTAAGTACTTTTTTTTGGTATATATTGATGAAATTTTTCAGCTTTGTTTTTGGTAATGGCCTTTTATTCTGGCCACTTGTGCAAGTAGTCCTAAAACATCGCAAAAGAAAAGAAAGAAAGGTTGGTGTGATTTGCGCCCGGCTAACTGAAAAGTAGAGCCTGGATATATCATCATTATTAACTTTCGAATTTATAAATATGCAAGCTCTTTTTGTCAAGTGTTTGTTTGGGTAAATCAGTTTATAAAAATGTTATTTCTATTCAGAATATTTATATTGCATTTTATTTTATTTTCATTTCTTCATATAATTATAATTTTTATTTATTGTTATTTAGCATCTGATGATATTAAGAAGAAGCCAGGCTTAGATGCAAATTATGTGATAAAAGTTGTAAGTTTTAATATGTATTTTATTCATCAATTATTCTGAGTTCCCTTACTATGTTGTTATTTCTTATCAGTGCTATACTTTCAGCTTTTTTCAAAGCTACACTCCCTTCTTCCCCCAAAAACATTTTGAAACCTTTGGCTACTAATTTCCTAATTTCTTTAACTTCTTCACCCATATATGTTCTAGTAGTGGTCAAATAGTTGAAATTCTTTGTTTTATAACTAAGCATCATAAAAAATATGTTCAAAATATATGCAGATTTCATGCTTGCATTATCAATAGATGGTAGTGTTTTGAATAGGAATTTACCATACTTCTCACAGAAAAAATAACCTAAGATTAACTGGAAAAAACTGGCTGCTCTAAGAGTGGAGATTTTATATATGTATATATACATAGAGTAGACCTTGAGTTGCATGGTTTTGCTTATGTGCAGATTTGTTTCAGTATTATTATTATTTAGATCAGTTTAAAAACATAACAAGCAAATTATGTAGTCTACAAATACATATATATATACACATAATGTATTTGGATGGAAAGATGGATACTTTCATTCCTGACTAGTGTTGTTGATGAAGCATGTTAAAACTCGTGGCCCCACAACAATAACATAAATATATGTGTGTGTAAAGTAACTGCGCACCAAAAATGCTGCATATACAAGTATATATATTGTATATAAACAAAAAGTTGAACATTGAAGCATAAATACAATCTCAGATGTTGTAAAAGAGTTGAGATGGGCTCTATAAAAAAATATTTACAGATGAATTAACTGAAATTTTGTGTGATTCAATTCTAAAGCAAATTGGGTATCTCTGAATTTTATAAATATTTGTCTGCATGATTACAGAAAGCTGCAAATTTGCGTCTCATCTGATTTCCATGTTTGGTAACACGCATTAGTATAAACAGTTTCCTTAACTAAGGAAGAGAGCCAAGCCTCCACCAATATCCAAGTTAACAGTTATTTATGTGATCTCTGTTCTGAAAATTGCCTATCTAAGCAACATTTCTCCAGATATATGAAAGTAAGTTCATTTCAAGGGAAATTAATGCTAGGTATTGAGAAAGTATCTGATTTAATGAAAATTTTCTGCTGTTCTTAATAAGCTAGGGGAAAAAAAATGAAAGCAGTACCTTTAGTGCGGGTAGTAATTACTACCCAAATCTATGATTTTCTGCCAACATTGTTAGTTTTTCAAAGCCTTTGGCCCAGAAACTTGGTGACCACAAATCCAAAAACAAATCATCCTCATTTTGGATATCCTATACAGAATGGAAGATAGCACCAGCAAGAGGTACCTGCATGTGTGAAAGAAGTAGAAGTCCCAAGGAGCAGTGTCATAGCTGTATGGTGGTTGTGGCAAAATATCTCATTCGAGTCCATACAGAGTCCAGCCAATGAATGCAAATATGTGGTCTTGCATTCACCTGATGAAACATTGCCTTTTTGCACTGGAACTCATTTCGGCATTTTTCCTTGGTAGCAGCATCAACACGAACTAGCATTTCGCTGTACACCATAGTGTCGAGAGTTTTACTTTTTTCAAGATACTGTCTTTGCGACCCTGCCGACAGGCTTACTGACTGCAAACCAACCCTGTTTTCAGCCTGTGTTGTTGAAGCAAATCCACTTTTCATCACAAGTGATGATCCGATCCAGAATTTTGTCCTTCCATTGATATTCGAGTAGAATAGTGCATGCTGAAATACATCTATCCTTATCTGCTTGAGTCAGCTCATGCGGCACCCAGCGATTGAACTCGTATGTCAAAGTTTATACAATGCATAGTGCAACTAATGCGCATGGCACTAATGTCTAACTCCTTAGCAAGCTCTCGAGTAGTTGCATACTGTCTTCTTCCACAAGTTCTCTTCTCACACGCAGGCCTAATCAACATCAGTTAGCTGGTCAGAGTGCTCTGATTCTTGAATGTCATAGTTGCTTAGTATGTGATGTAAGTTTTTCAAAGATGTTAGTAAGATATAACATCTGCAGTGTTTTCTAGCCTATAGAAAGGAAAAGAAAAAGCACTTGTTTATTCTGCCTTACAAATTCAGCAGAAAAATATGCTTTGTAAGCATTTTGTAATTTAGATATTTTCTTACTTGGTTGTGAATTCATGTTTTTCAAAATATATGTATTTTTATAGGAACCACATGCTAATGGTCCACTTTTTTCTGAAATGCACTTCTATCATCGTGTTGGGAAACCACATCAAAGTAAGTTTAATTTTTTTTCACTGCCTCCAAATCAAAATTATTTTATTAAAAAGTTCTTTATATTCTGAATTTAAAAAATATATGTTTACAGTTTCCTTAGATATTCCCTTTAAAAGTTGAAACATGTTTGGTTTATGATTTTGAATAGGAATTGTTCGGTGATTTCATATTCTAATATTATTTGTTTTGCATGAAATATTGCTTCATTTTTGTTATGTTAAAGGGAACATTGTGTGTATTAATAATTTAATCTTTATCTTGTCCGATTTAAATGGAGAACTGCATATGTCCTTTTAGAAGTATAATAGAACATTTTGTATCATTTTTTCTTCTAGTATTAGAACCAGAAGAAAAAATCTGATGTGTACACCACATGACTTCCTTGTACGGAATATTAAATTATACGCATTTTTTCTTCCATTTTATTTAAACTTATTAGATTGAATTAAACCTACTTCGCCGACAGCACATAAACCACAATAGAATAAATGCATTCTTTAAAATTCACTTTGTTTACCATAGCGACACTGGCGCTAGGTTTACTTAACAGTATTATATTTCATTCATATTATAACTCAGAATGCACAAAATGTATATCATTTAAAGAATTATCTAATCGTTGCCACAGTTCTATTCAAATACTATAATAAAGCTATAGAACTATGTATAAAAGAAATTAAGCAAACAAAACAAAAAAGAAAGTTTTCACAGACGTTTGAGTATTTCTCATTTTAATTAATTCAGTTCTCACTTTCGCAAGAAGGCAAAAATACGTAAAAACTCAAAATATCTATATTAAAAATTACAAAGTAAATCTCAAACGCTTATTTCCTCGAAAAAATTCCAGAAAGAATTAAGCATGATTTAATTGCCAATAATAAATGAATGCGTTATCTTTGTTGTTGCGAAGCTAAGTTTCTCTAGATTGGCAACAAATCCACTAGTCTCCTGTTTCAAATGTAAACATCAATGGCCACCATTAAAAACAGACTTAGTGGCAATTAAACAACTTTAAAATTGCTGAAAATTCTAAAAATATTGCTTGCAGATTTACTAAAGGCATAAAATCCTTAACTGGAAGATAAAAACAACATAATTCAATCATTTTTAAAGCAAAAAATGTACAATTTACAAACATATAAGAGTAAAGAAACTGAGATCACTGAGCCGGGTAATAGAGTGGATATATATATAAATATATCAAAACTAAAAACTTTCTGCGCATGCGCCGCGTTGACACATGCGCATAGGCGTGCGCGTAAGACCTTTTACGACTGCGCATATGAGTGTGCGCAAGTGCAGAATACGTTTTCGCGTGCACGTTTTATGTATAATGGACGTATAAGCTAAAATTATCTAATTATCTATTTCAGTTAATGTTGATGATTGTGTTGTTCCTTAATTTTCGAATTGGATCCGGCTTATTATTTTTTGCAGACTGTAAGAGCAATTTTATAAAAGTAAGCTTAAACTTTCGATTATATCAAATAGAAGTCCGATATATATTTGTTAATATGTAAAGGATCTAAAGCGAAAGTATGTATGTTTTGAAATCCGAAATCTGTTTATCAATTTTACGCTGCTCCGCGGGGGGGAACGCCGCAGCGGGCGCGTAATGAATTGAAGTTGATCTGTTCAGCACTATCCTTATCTTCAGGGCAGATGTTTTTATTTTATTTGGCTTATAATTCCTTACCAAATTAGTATTTCATCTCAATGTGCTCCGTCTTTGATATGATTTAAAACAAGTTCCTCGTCTTTATAATTCCCTTCCGATAGCGAAGAACGTGACAGAGGTTAGTGAAAAAGAAAAAATTTCGATTGACAAATTAGTCGGTGTTCTCGACACAGCAATTATAGGACTTGAACAGCGGAACTTTGTAACTGAACAAGAAATTATGTCTGTTTAATAGAATTAAAGAGAAAGTATTATCACATGAAACGAAGCAAACTTACATTGAAAGAAATGTTTAAAAAGTAAACAAATAAATATTAAGCTTTTTCTTTTTGAAAATTTTGATACCCTTTAGATCATAATTGTTCTTTATTTCATAAATTACGGTTTCATATTTTTAATTTTAGAATTTCTGCATGCCATCTTACGAGATTTAAACTGATGATCTATAATCCGGAATCACCGAAGTCCCGACGAGTCCGGATTAACGACTTTTGACTGTACTTCCTTTTTACTTCGTACAAGGAAGTAAAAATGATGGACCAGAAAACTATATTAAATATTTTTTTTTTATGAAATTAAGTTAGGAAATAAAGAGTTATTCACTGATGGGTAAAGGAATACTTGCTTTTAAATCGTTACATAGGTAGATTCATGTTTTATAGATTCAAAATTTTAGTGTATAATATTTTAATCCGTTAACGAGCCCGCCCCTTGGAACGAAATGCTTTGAAAATAGCCGTGTTGTCAGAAAATAAACCCCTCCAAATAAAATCGCTTTCATTTAATGAAATCTCTCTAAGATGGCCCAGCCTGGGGCAGCATGTTTGCTTCCCCTTAGTGTAATGGATAAGGCATAGAATTGCCTCCCCGCTATTGAATGGCAAGAAATACTTCTTGGCTTTAGTTTCGCCTCTCCTCGTTCTTTGTACTTGTAATAGTTTGTAGACTTGTTTCTTTTAATATGTGACATCCGAATTTTTCGAAATCTTTTTAGGATTTTAGCTGCCAAGCTTGTAAATTTTCAATTATTCGACAGGTTTTATTGGGCAGTATTTTAAGAAATTTCATTATTTATTTTGTTACACAATTTTTTTACTATTTACTTATCTATTTTATTTAGTTTTAGTAGGCCAATTTATTTTGGGAAATTAAATTTTAATCCATTCTTTTACCGACTCAGTTTTCATGACATTATAAGTCCATATATATTTACGATGAGAGTACAATATTTATCAGGAATTTTTGGAAAATTTGGCATACGTATTTATATTTTAGCGTTGAATTTTTTTCAAAGTTGTTCGTTAACAGTCGAGATCATCTTCGTAAACGCTTGATCTTTTCAGCATGGAATTGGTAAGTAATAATCTTCCTAATGTTTTTCGGGATTTTATAGCAGTTTCTAGAATTTTGGCGGTTTTCTACAAATATTTTGTTAAGTTTAGCTATTGTACAGTTGTTACTAATGTGGGATTTAAAACCAAAAATGTATTTCTTCGTTAATTTGTGAGATTGCATTTCGAATTTAAACGGAAGTTTAAATGAATTTGATACAATCTTACCACAGACTAGAAAGAATTATTTCTCTGTGTTGGATGGATTTTCTCACTTTTCCGTATTTTATACATTAAATGCATAAAGCAGACATGCACAAAAATCCCTTTTGATTCTTACGGTTTCAGTGAAATGAATTGTAAAATATATTTATTTTTTAACTTCAAAATGTATTTGCTTGTGTATGCATAAATTTAAAATCGTGGGACTTCCACTTACAAATTATATGACTAAATTGCAGTATTTAAGCTAATAACTGAAATTATAGTACTGAAATGACATAGAATATAAGAATAATTATAGTCAATTTAAATAAATTTCTATTCTATTGTAGTCTATTTAAATAAATTTCTATTTTCATTTAAAATTTGTCATTATTAGCATCTCCCGCATTTTTATGCAATCATAGGATTTTCCGAATTCTATTAGGTCCTTAGCATAATTTCAAGGCCTAATAGAAAAGTGATAATATGGAAAGACTATGTCTTAAGTACCAATAGCCAAGTATTTGTAATTAAATAATTAAATAAAAATAAATATTGAATACCAGCCGCTTTTTTTTTTATTTATTTTTAGTGGTATAACAAAAGATAAACAAGAATACTATTACATCTAAGAATTATTTAGTAAATTATTTTGCTAATTTTATATGAATGAGGAAACATGATAAAAATGTTTTAATGATTGAATTCATCGTTAAAAATCAAACATACCCCAAAATTCCTTTTTCCCAAAACTGCATAAAAAGTTTTGATTAAACATGATTTGAATGAGTTTTCCAATTCTGTTTTGAGTGATATAAATTGGAATATAAATATTATTAAATAAGGATATAAATTATTATTAGTAATAATTTTTATATTATAACTTAGCAGAATATTGTTTACCGTTAAAAATTATATCTAAAAGAATTAAATTTTGTAAAAGAATAAAAAATATAATTAACTGTTCCATTTTGTCCTTTATGCATCTATTTATTAAAAATGTAATCTGGCTAGGGAATTTACGACTTATATATGAACTGAAAATTGGTATCTTGACAAAACTTGTCAGAATATAAAATGCGTATATTCTGTGATATTAATGTATTAATCATACTTCTGTATACGTAAATGCAGTTTGTAACTACCAGCATAAGTATCGTAATGGATTTTATTAAAACGACAAAAACTGAATGCATGGTCCTAGCATTATCAAACTACGGCTCTTTATCGCGTTAAGTATTGCTTGGGTCGTAACCATCACAAGTTTTATTTTTCAAATATTATTCCAAATAAAACAGGAAGTGTTAAACGATATGCATTTTAAACAGTTTTACTTTTTTATATGCATAGAAATGTTAAGTAGCTTTAAATTGTACTTCATTTCTGAAACTTCTGCGGTACTATTTTTAGAACAGATCAAGGACTTTAAAGAACAAATACATTTTAGTAATGTGCAACGTTAATGATATAGTTCAAATGTTATTGAACAGCTGTACGATTTGTAACTGGCACTAGAAGAAGCAAAATTTATCTGATGATCCAGTCTTCATTTAATGAATTAATAGAGAATGATACAGGGTGAGCTGTTAGTCAGCATGTTAGTTCCATACAAAAGCTAAACTACTTTCTTTTTTCCCACCGACAGTGAGGCAGCCAATCTACTGGGGCAGTTAGCATAGGCAAACTACTATTTGCTTGTACAAAAACTGTACTTAAAGCTTACAGCTTATTTTAAATAAATTTCGTATACTGAATACAGCTCCCCCGAAAAGCTCTGTTTTCTATCT